ATTCCACGCATCGACCAGGCCAGCTCTTTTTGCGATGCCATGTATTTCGGATGAGGAAGTGTTATAAGCTTAAGGCGTTTCATCAATTACAACGGAATGATAAAAATATACGGAGACTCGTACCTCGGTCTGCTTCATGTACTTGAAGATCTCGACAACATATTTGCTGACCATCAATGGATCATCGAAATCCTCAGCATCAAGATCGCCACACTCGTCACCATCGAGGTCAGCTTCAGGTGCCACATCGACATCCAGAACAGCCGCCACTTCTGCCTCGTGTTGCGTTTGCTTGTCTATGTCAGTCTTGGGAGCATCAGAAGACATTACGATCGTCTTGAACTTCCTCCTGTGTCTCGGTCTTTATTAAGACGAGATGGAAAGAAGTTCGTTGAGCAGCCTGAACACGTTGTACCTCCTGGGTGATCACCTGTTGAGTGTTCGCCCCCGACCTGCGGGTCGAAACACATCGCGAGGGTTCAGGAGCCGGTGGGTGATCATTCTGTCCTTAGCAGATTCCAGCGGCCTTGTTCTTGTTGATGTTCTTAGTCGTAACTTCGAATAAAATGAGTCAGCGTGTTTTATTGTAGGTTGAAAAATTAATAGACGGACGTTTGGGTAGCGCCAGAAGAATGCAGGTTGATTCAGACCATAAATGTTGGCCAAGAAGGAGAAGGAGACAGAGCAACAGTGGAAAGTAAAGCAGACCGTGGAGGATGTTGAGAGTTACTGGTTCTAGTTACAGTGATACAAGGTAACAATATCGTAAATTTATCGACCATTGCTTCCCACGGCCGCATAACTTTATCTTTCCGGCTGTGAGTGTCAACCTTGTAGACAAGGTAATTAGGAACTAGCTGAAAGGTTATCAATATGGCGCATCTGAATTCACAAACTGGGTATGTGGTAGCGTCTGGTGTGAAGATCAACACCAAACTTCGAGGTGTCGCGCTCATCAGCGCTCCGTTCATGATTATGGGTATGTGGGGGCGTCCAGCGTGAAGATCAACGCCAAACTTCGAGGTGTCGTGCTCGTCAGCGCTCCGTTCATGATTATGGGTATGTGGGGGCGTCTGGCATGAAGATCAATGCCAAACTTCAAGGTGTTGCGCTCGTCAGCGCTCCGTTCATGATTATGGGTATGTGGGGGCGTCCAGCGTGAAGATCAACGCCAAAATTCGAGGTGTTGCGCTCGTCAGTGCTCCGTTCATGATTATGGGTATGTGGGGGCGTTTGGCTAGTATATGCATGCATTCCGAGTCGAAGGACACCTAAACATTCTCAGATTACAATGGAGCTAAAATCTCGTGTCTGTAGGAATTGTGTGATCGGATCTTGATAGTAAGACTAGGAACACAACTACAAGGTAGGGGACTCTAATTTCATGTTGTTGTGTGACGTGAGGAGCGGCAAATAGTTGTGATATCATTGGCCGACGACTTAGGTTTCTTCTTGCCCCTGGATGTCTTTGCCTAAGATTTGGCAACACCAATAAGCCCGGCGGCTGGTAATGCATCCTCACTCTGATCCTGGGGATTGGCCGAAGTCTCTGCATGCGGTGCCATGGGTGTCGGAATAGGTGGAGTTGAGATAGAAGGTTGTGGAATGACAGCAGGCCCTGGGGCTGCAACTTCAAGTCGAGGAGTGTCGACAGTGAACATAGTAGGTTGCAAGGTTGCGATGGTTGGCGCTGCGGCTACAGTGGCAAGGTGTACATCTTTATTAGCCTGCTCTTGCAAGTTGACATATTCCAATGACTCATTGTTTGAGTCTGAATCGCTGGCATCTAGCGCAGCCATAATGCGATCGAGTGATTCAGTGATGCGCTCCACAGTACACTGAGTGTCATCGGATGGCTGCATCTTTACAGTACTACCGAAGACATATCCATTGATTTCGTCGACAATAGATTTGATGCGCTGGTGGGCCCACTTAACAATGAAGAATTTCTTGACTGTCTGAAAGACGGAGTGATATGCGATCGAGGAAATAGCACCAACTCCATCGCCTGAAAATTCCTGGTCCAGAGATAGGATGAATATGATCTACAGGGCGTGATGAGTATCAGCTCAGTATAAATTTAGAGTACTGAAACCTTACTGATGTGACGCCAAATGCAATCAGGCCAGGAGTGCAGCTTGTAAGCTTCCATATCTTGGCATAGGAAGGTGGTCCGCCACGCGCTTTGGAATACAATGACATCTTTCCACATATCGCAACCTTGATAACCTTCGAAACAACATATGAGTAGCTGGGTCTGTTATTGATGAGTAGACTACCTTTGCGATGACGATCCAATTTTTGAAAAATTTCTTCTCATTCACGATGTGGTCAGGGTAAAGTATTGGCGCCTTGAAGATATCATACATCTTTCCCTTGCCTGCTTCCCATCCAATCAAGTCTGTGACCTGCCGGAGGGAAGTACAGTCGTATTTGGAAACAAAATATTCGTTAGGCATGTTGAAGATGCCACCTGCAATGGTACGCAGGCTGTTTAGGAATGAAGAGCGAGCTTGCTGCATTCCGCTCCCAAACTAAATGAAGTTTTGGTTAAATTTATAACGATAATATTAATGACTTGAGGTAGGAAAAACTACGCACCTGGTTGAAGAACAGATTTGTTCGCATCCGAGCATGCAACACGTGGTCAATGGATGCATAGAGTTCAGTAACAAGTGCATCCTTTTCTGTAGACCTCTTCGCATAACGATTTGGATTCGAGAAATCGACTAGAGGATCAGGACAGTCTGTTTGAAAAATGACCTTGTCGGGGAGGAACATCTCGGTAGTGAGTGCATACTTTTTGGCCAAGCTTAAAATAAGCTTGTCCGAGTCGATGTCACCCATCTTCGATGAGTCAGAAGCTACGACGGAGGATGCAGAAGACACAGATGGCGCTACAGATACTTGTGATACAGATGGTACCCTGGATGATGGGCGTTTGCGAGAACGTTTCAGCTGTTGCACAGCAAGAATGTTGTTGCTCTCATTCAGAGACATATTCTGCTGCTGGAGCCACCCTTGTTGAAGCTGGAGGTATTTAATATACTAATGTATCAAGGCATATGTTAGAATTTAGTATATATGATCTGAATGAAAGCAACAGCGTACCTCTTGGTAGTGCTCGATAGAAGCATTAACACCTGGTGGAGCCACAGGCCGTTCTTCATCCGCCGAGTCTGAGCCTGAATCAGAACTTGAGGATATTGGATTTGAGCCAGAGTCAGACATTTATTATGCAACGGGGAGGAATAGTATGCTCAACGAGCTGGAACCTGAGAGGGTGGGTCACAGGGTGTCGAGTCAAAGCCGTCTCGCAGTTGATGCTATTTTATGCAATCTTGAAGTCGGGTGGTGTCGGAGTGAACTCAATGTAATCATACACGTGGTCCAGGTTTGCTGATCGGCTCATTGAGGGCATGAGGCTGTGACCGAAAAAGTCAAATTGAATGGTAAATTACACGCAATGAAGACGTACATAATCATTATCGCAGCATGACGCAGGTCAATGTGTGATATTACACGTTGCAAGTCTACACACTATCATGCAGACAGATCAAGTCTTACGATTCAGATAAAATAAGGTCACTTATGTCTGTAAAACGGTGAATGTTGAGGGCTTGCCATCTTGCCGTGCATGAAAATACTTATCCGATCAAGCTGAGCCTCCCACATGAGGAATTTATTTGAAGGGCGTGTGCTCCAAGATACTCTAATTGAACGGATCGGAATCGAGGTGAGAGTTTATTCTAGGTTCGATGGTCGAGGTGGAACAAATAGAAGTGTAATGGACTCAGCCCGAAGCTTGAAAGTACACGTTTGAGGATTGTTCGTTCCTAATTTGATGCTTATTACAATGAGGTGTAAATGAATCGAGCCTCATTTTTGAACCGAATTGAACTCACTTCGAAGTCACCTCAGTTCAATTGCAACACTACCCTCAACACAGTAGCTCAGTTGTCAGAACTTTCCATCATGGCGCTGAGATGCCCACCTAGCCATATGCTGACAATGTGTAACAATGCTTTTGGAAGATGGTGTTGATACGAGGAATACTGCGGTCCCAGTAGGTACAAGATCTTCGACTTCGAGGGTAAGGCGCCGGTTCTAGCATCGCTTGATACTGTGTCTGAAAACCAATATTAAGTCAATGAATTAGAGGCAATACAACAATACAAGACGAACGTAAGATGGATTCGTCAAATGGTAAGACTCCGATGGCTGATTTCCAGTGCCTGCTCAAGTCGAGAGTGATGGATACGTAGATGCTTGTGGGAATGCGCTACAAGGGAAATTTAAGGTGTTTTTCTACTGACAACTGTAAATAGAGTGTGATGATCACCAAACGGATGCGAAGGTGATATGGAGTAACTCACTTTCAAGTCTGATACATCGGCCCTCTAAGCTACTGGGCATGATAGTGCGATGAAGCAAGACAACAAGATCAAGGATGGGCGGTGGTGGGAGTTATCTGGAAGAACTTTGTCGCCTTCAACTGCCGGAAGAGATTCTTTTAGTCATCGCATTCTCAGGTTGACTCTTGAGCTCATTGAGGACGAAACACTTGAGCAACTTGAACAACTTCTGATGTGATATATGAACTTTGACTGGCTGGTTAGGAGGAAGTGCTTCAAGTACCAGTTCTTCACCAGAGATACGTCCTGCGCATGATGCATGCGATCAGAGTGCCAATTATAAGGCTCAGGCGCCCATCATAGAGCGTCACAATAGAAGTGAGGTCGTTCTCGAGAGGCCTGTCCTCACATCGCATCGTAAATTCTTCAATTGCTGGAATTGCAGGGAATCTTGGCTGATGAGGTCTTTGGGTGTCGTTCAGAACTGTGTGGAATGTGCAAATGGGTGGGTAGGGCATGGGAAATATCTGTAATACTACCACTAGTACATGTTATTGATCTGCGAAGGAGCATATCAATAAAAGTTTGTTGCAAGCGAAAGATGAGGAGACAAAAACGTACCAACAATACTAATAATAGCTTGCCTCACAATGGTTGAGCGCTAGCCTGGAGTGCCTTGACTCGAAGGAACATGTCAGTGTCCACAGTGTGGATGACGAAGTAATCCCCATCTGTTTCGGGATTTCTGGTGAGAGCAGCTCCCCGAACGATTGACCGAACCGAAATGATTTCAGAAGAAGAGCGAGGTTTGGCTCGCATGCGCCACAATCCCATATCATTATCCCGCCTCCGACGACTATTAGCAATACCGACGTCATATGGCTGAATAAGTGCGAGAGGGAATTCAGTGCCGCCAACCAAACAAGTGAACATGTATATGAGGCGAGCGAAGAATGGTGTGTTTGCAGTGTTCACGATGACGCAGTCATATCTCGGCGATCCATAGAACTTTGGATTGCATTGGAGTAGGTCTCAGTGCATGCACCAGTCGACTAGTGATTCATAATTGATCCGCAAGAACCTAAACTCTGTTATCTGATAGAAATGCATCAGTATTATCAATTGAATGTAAAGTAAACGTACTGTATCCTCTGCTTGCATGTGAATGCACCTTCCATCTGGTAATGGAATGTTATTCTGTGGCAGGAAGCCATTTAAGAAGTCGTTTAGCTTCATCCGAAAGTTGGTGAAGGCCCTGTCAGTTCCATGCAAGTGCATGATGTCGGAAAAAGAGTTATTACCCTGCCTTGAACCTAAATGTGCGTGAATAGTAGTAGATTTAGATGTTCCAGCGTCGGAGTCATCCAGTACTTCGTTGGTCTCAGGGTCACAGGTGTCTCGTTGATTGTACTTGTCAAGTTCGTCGAGTTCAGAGCACATGGATGTCGAAGTTAGAAGCCATTCATCATAGTGTAGAATCTGTAACAATTAAAAACTATTGGTCTGAATCTGCATAACAATATAGTTAAGCAACGAACCTGAGAAGCAACATTCTTGAAATTTGTGCGTTGAAGATAGATTTTTTGTAAAGAGCCATGCATCTTTTCATTTGGCTTGGTACTGTAGTTATGTGTCACACCTTTGGCTAGAATATCGTCGAATGCATGCGAGACCAAGTGTTTCTTTGGAAAGTTCCAATTTTTGTTGGTTTCAGGGTGCGATTGTGCAATATATTCCTAATGAAAAGTCAGACAATTGTCATCGAAAACATCGGAACAACTTACATCCATCATTTCTGAGAACTTTTGCAGTGCCAGCCTTCCAGCTGCGATTGTATCCTCTGTATGTACTTCTAATGAGACATAAATATCAAACTCGACGTAGTAGTGAATGCAACGAAGAAGTAACTGTCCCAGTTTACAGTGGGATGAAGTAAGGATATCCTGTGCCGCAAAAATGATCATCTAAGTTTGTGTAAGTACCTAAAATCATTTATGATGGTGCAGACAAACCTTGGACAGATCACCAAGAACAGAACCATCAGTGAAATCAACTGCGACGACAGATGAAAAATGTGTTAAATTAGGCCATCATGGAAGTTCATCGAAGCTAAGACACTGAGTCAGAAGTAGTGTCAATGTATTATAGCCACAATACATACTTTTTATCGAGTTTGACAGCCGCTTCACGCCCGAGGTCCAAAATCCAAAACTTTACTTCCTTCCACAAATGGTCACCCCATAATCCTTCCTTGTTTGTATGCAGGCGGTCGAAAGAAAGTGCACGATGAACATCGACATGAAGGATTCTCGAGAAGACATTCTAACAATTGAATTACATCAGCAAACTTGTCAATAGTAATAGATATAACAGCAGAAATGGTAAAATGGGAAGGAAGTGAAGTTTTTCATACGAGGTCGTGAATTGTTTGAAATACAAGTCAATCATTGTAAGAGGAAGGGTAAGTTGGGAGGGAAATGCATACCTCAATGTTTCGAAGCGAGAAAGCCTTTAGATGATCCTCTTTTTCCTTCTCAGACGGCTTTGATCTTGCAGTGCGGAGTATGTCTTCAGATTGGTGGCTTGTGTGCAGCTCATGGGTAGCGGAGAATGGACTGCTCGTCTTGTGGAACCAAACAAACTGGACACTGGAAATTTTCCCTTAAGCCCACAGATCAATGCCATGATACATCTATAATTTGTACATGAGCAGCTCACAATAGTTAACTTGTAGTACTAGTATGACTTACTGTTCTTCGTAATCGACACTTAAGATTATAATGAGGGGCCAGAGATGACGTCGGATTCCGTCTCCTGCATTCAAACCAATAGCCTGTATTTGAGTGCTTCGCAACCGAGGCCAGAAGCTGGTAGAAGGATGTATGCCAGACAGCATTTTTAAAGTCTACATAGTTCTTCTTTTTCGCATGTTCTTGATCCTCAACAATCTGAATTAATATAATGGCAGTCAGCATTACTATGAACTGAACAAGCTTGTCAGTATACTAACAATGGGCAGCCAGCCAACGACACGACCACCTCCTAGGGCAGTATTACTGTTACGAATATGAACCGGTAGGTTAGCGATGCGCGCAATGATTGGATAGCCTTTTTGGCTCCCAAATGACGATAGTTTACTCTTGTCCGCATAGAGGATGAATGCCAGTGGTTTTGCATTGGGCGGAAGCTGCGACTACAATTACAACAGTTTTGTAGCATACTATTAATTTAAAGAAACAAACAATAGATCAAATGTCGAAACATACTTGTGCCTTCCAAAACACATCGGCAGTCCATGGTTCATCAATAAAACGTACAAATCTTTCTCCGTTGAATTTCGAGAGACATTGAGCATCAAATACAAAATGAGGTGCGAGACGTTTGTCTCGCAACAAGTCAAGGACCCAATCCCAGAGAGGGCGGTAGTGCATGTCGAATTCGAGCACTTCATTTCTGAGGGGAACAGACACTGCATCATTCTGAAACTATGCACTAATGATCAGCTTATGGTAATGTACTAGTAGTAGCTACATGAGACAACACTTACTCTAGTATAATGTTGCAAAGCAAGGTCCCAGAGGGAGCGGACTTCATCATGATTTTGCAGTGTGAATGTGTCATTGCCACTAGCAGATCGATGTATGAGATTGATAAGGCGATTGGTTTGATCCTTTGTCATCGCAGCTTCGAGTGCAATCTCTGCTACTTCGAAATCAAGCCGTGTGCAGAATGGCTCCCATGGCGAGTCGTTACGAGGTACATAGTCTTCTGTTGGGCAGCTGCGAGAGAACTCAGAGAAGCGATGCACAGTAGAAGGAATTTGGCTGTGAGGATGATGCTCGACTTTGATATCGTCAAGCTCATGCGCAGGCTGATTGAGATCAGGATTGGACTCATTGGGACCAGGATCGGGCTTGTTGGGACCAGGATCTGGTTCATTGGGACCAGGATCGGGCTTGTTGGGACCAGGATCTGGTTCATTGGGACCAGGATCGGTTTGGTGGAAGTCAGGTAATGGGTCCGCCGGAGGGTATTGGCGAGGTGAAGACCCTCGCATAACTGATACTGTTAGTCTCAGTATAACACTAATCAAATTGAATCAAATGTACCAATGTCTGGCCCATATCGCAGTGGCATTCACTGTGTTGCGAGAAGAAAATTCTAAACCATAGTACTATTGTTAAAATATGAGTGCTCACCTGCAGATGATTGCGCATCCTCCAAATGTTGTAAATTATTACGAATTTTGCGATGCTGCCTTCAAAGTTCTGTAAAAAAAATTATCAACCATCTATCGAGTACGTCATTGAAAGACAACTGATTCGAGTGCTCACCTTTCTTTTCGGCTTTCTGAACTATGCTAACAAAATCCTCATCTTCCTGCCGTTCCCATTCCTTCTTCGCGCAAGACCTCGAATGGGATCCTAACCCACGCGCATGCACATTCACTCCACATCGATCACACGTCACAAGGTCTGATGCTCGTTGTTTTGACTTAGGCATTGATGTCAAGTAGCAAACGAGCAACGAGCAAGCTGATAGTGATCATATAATATTAGAGTGAGAGCGTAAAGCTGCGAGTAACGGAGTGCATACCGAGGACCAAGCGTCAAAGCCTGTCAGGAATACAGACAATGATTGAGGAGATGATATGTTTCGTTTAAACAAATTGGATATGCTTGGAAGAATTGTTGAGCAGAAGAACGACGAGTTTTGGATAGGGAAGACATTTGGACTGACTGTAGACTTCGGATAGACGATGGGAGTGAACAAAAGTTGTTGTTATCGATGGTATGCGAGAGAATAAGATTATAAATCAAAGTGACAAGACGGTCCAGGGCTCAGTTCAGTTGAGAATAAAGAAGACAAATGAGACTGGAAAAGAGGCGTACAGAGTCAGAACCGTTGATGCAGCATGTGTTGCCTCGCCTAGGTATAAGTCATATCAGTAATCCGAATCAGAATTGCATCAGCATGATATTCAAACTCCGCTTAAGGCGTCGTAATGAGGTCGTAATGAGGGTCAAAATCATTTTGAGCCTGATTGTAACGCGTGACCATTATGATGCCGGTAAAAAATCTCCGACATACTAGACTAGGGTTCGGGATAAAAGTATTTCGGCAATTATTAGCAAGCTTTTTAGCCAGGTAGGTCTGGGGTAGTTATTAGTATTACTCACGATAGGTTTTGAACACTTCAAAAAACTCGCTAAAGCTTCAAAAAACTCGCTAAAGTCTTTAACAAACTCGCTAAAGTCTTCAACAAACTCGGCCAGAAAGCCATCAAGACACATGGCACACGTGGCATCAGAGTGGACTTGGAAACATTTAGTCAAATTTTAAGGCATGTATACTACACAAAAATATATAGATGTAGCTAGGTATCTAATGAACGAGATATAACAAAAAAGAAATGTGTGATAGTGAGGGAAACACGAGATTCAGAACGGAGGTATGAGAGAGTGAGAGTGCGGGCGCATGAGCTGGGAGGTAGAGTTAGGGGATTCCATTTGATCCGGTGTTCGAATGCTGAATGTGTGACAGCGAGGGAGACACAAGCAGTGTAAGAGGGCGGGAGCATGTGCTAGGAGATAACGAACATGTTGGGGGATTCCGTTTGATCCGGCATTCGAATGCTGGACGCGTGACAGCGAGGGACACAACAGCAGTGTGAAGGGCGGGAACATGGACACAGGTGTGTGGGGCTGGCCCGGCTGGGAGATACAACAACAGCCGTATGAGTGCGCAGGTGCGCAGGTGCAGGCATGTGGGCTGGGAGACACAACAGCAGTAGCATGAGATCAGAGAGGGCAGGAGCACAAATGAAGAAAAATTACTCACATTTACATCCTCAACCTCCCATCCGGCGCCATTGCATACCTCCCCATTATCCACCTGTAAGATCATGCTGGAAGGGGCAAGGGGATGGTGAGATTCGAGCTACGGAATGCACGGAGGATGCAGATGCTAGCGATGACATCTGGTGCTAATCGTGGTAAAAATTTAAACTCCGATTTAAACTCCACCTAATCAGTTGGATGATGGATCTCGAGTGTACTGATAAGAAAACACTCCGTTCCAAGTCACAACCATGCCTCCTCAGTCTACACGTGAAGACCTCCTTCGTGCCATTGATCAGGCTTCATTGGCATTAGCCAACTCACAGTATTTGAATATACTCCTGGATGACCAGGGCTCCAACTCCAACTCAGACTCTAATACTGACTCGGACTTAAACTCGCTTTATACCTTGGATGAGGAAGATCTGGCTTTTGCCTCCCCATCCCCTATATCCCCCATGTCCCCTATGTCCCCTATGTCCCACCTTTCGGGCCTCAGTTCAGATATTTCCAGCCACAGTGACCAATCTGACGACTCAGATGATGCTGCTGTGCGTTACGACTGGCTCCAGCACACAATTGCTGCTCTTCGTGATGAGGTAGAGAGGGCACGTGTATTCCACAAGCCTGATGAGCCTCCTCCTCGGGCACCTCAGCTGCATATGCTGGTTCACCGTGAGGAACACCGGCCTCATTTGTTTCGCCAGAAACTGCACGTCAATCCAGAAATATTTGACGATATCCTCGACCAGATCTCCGGTCATCCTATCTTCCGTAACCAGTCCAACAATCCTCAGCTCCCTGTCTCCATTCAGCTTGCTATTTTTCTAAATCATGCAGGCCACTACGGCAATGCCATTTCACTCGAGGATGTCGCACAATGGGCGGGTGTGAGTGTTGGGTCGGTTGTCAACTGCACTAATCGTGTGATGGTTGCATTGCTTGAGGAGCACGATCAGTTTATCTTCTTCCCAGAAGATAACTCTGAGGATACTGAGCTGGCTCGGCGCTTTGCTGAGACACGAACCTGTCCAGAGTGGAGGGGTGGCTATCTAGCCATTGATGGCTCAACTATAGATCTTTTCACCAAACCTGCTTATTTTGGTGAGACATTTTATGATAGGAAATCTAAGTATTCCCTTGGCTGTCAAGTAATGTATTTTTATTTATTTTTCATGGGCAACAATTTAATTTAATTTTAGGCAGTTATCATGCCCCATAACCTCATGATTGTAGATTATTCTCTTGGTCAACCTGGGAGTGTCCATGATGCATATGCTTTTCGATCCACTCGCCTCTATGAAGAGCATGCCAATCTTCTCCCAGATGATCACTGGGTTTGGGCAGACAGTGCATACCCATTGGAGCCATGGTGTATCCCCCCTTTCAAGAAGCCTCGCAATGGACGACTGACAAAGGACCAGAGGACATTTAATTACCACCTTTCTAAGGTATTTTTATTTTCTGCTTTTTATTATTATTAATGAATTTAAAGATACATGTGCATGTTGAGCATACATTTGCAGTCTTGAAAGGGCGGTTCCAGTCTCTCAGAGAGCTCCGCATCAATATTCAGACAGAGAAGGACTTGCAGGTTGCTGTGCATTGGATTAAGTGTTGTCTTATCCTGCACAACATGATCATCTGCTTTGAAACTCATCGTCGCAAGCAGGATAAAGACTATGATCAGTCTCTGGAGTGGGCTCATACCGAGGGTGAAGCTTTTGTCCCTCAAGAGATTGAGGATCCAGAGGGTAATGAAACAGTGGGTGACAGGTCATATGAAGGAACCCCTGGCCAGGCTACTCGTGCAAGGCTCATGGATCAGCTCTTTGATAGCCCTAGATCAAAAGCACAGTGTAGGGAAGGATAAGCATCATGTTCACATTCACCAATGATACATGTACTACTAGTAGTACATCTTGTACAACACATGTAACATCAATCTTACAAGTACCAGCAGAAAAAAAAAGCACCATGTTCACATTCACCAATAGTACATGTACTACTAGTATTACAGCTTGTACAACATCAATCTAACAAGTAACAACAGACTACAAAAGAAATTCATAAGTCAGATAGCAACAGCAGCAAAAAAACGCGACAGCAGAAAGCAGCAATGATGATACAAAAATAAGCCGCTAGCGGACAGTATGATAGGAAGGGGAACAACAGCAGCAAACATGTCAGCTATCAGACGCAGAAGCGGTACTACCGCTCTGCGTCATCTGGTGAAATTGAATCTTCAGGCGCCACATCTCTGCCTCCTTGTCAAGCGCAAGGGCCTGGGCCTCGTGCACTCGGACATCTGTCTCGCGAAGGTGGATATCTGTGTCCTTGGTCTCCTGCTCTTGTTGATGGCTGGCGGCAGCTTGCATGGCCTCATGTGTGCGCGCCTCGCGAAGATACTCGTACTTCTTCGTCTCACGATGGTAGTCCTTCTTCACATCGAGCTTCACGAGGAAGCGCTCATGCTTGAGGTTATGGCATGATGTGACGTCCGATTGAATACTCCCAATCTCACCATTGACCCTCTCAACCTGCTCCTGAATGTCGGATTTTGCTTTCTTCTTCTTCAACCCTGTGGTCTTCGGTTGCGCTGATATTGAGGTCTGGTGGGTCGGAGATGCAGGAAAATCTGACGATGAAGTGTTGTGAGTCGTCGACGAAGGTGTCGACGAACTACGAGTCATCTCTGGCGACGACGATGCAATAGACGACGGTCTGCGTTGTGCGTCATAGCCAGAGGGCCCCTGAGCGCCAAATGCTGCACAGCTGTCATAGAAAGGAGTGGGTGACTTCTGCGTGATTGAAAAAGGGATGGGGTGGTTAGGAGGAGGAGACGGCGATGATGGGAGTTGTCATTTTTTCCCGGCAACCTTTGGAGGGCTGTTAAGGTCATAAGTAGGGTGCGGGGCATCAGTGTCCATATCATCGTCATCCAAGTGGTCTAGTGCATTGCCCAGAGGGGCATGGAAAGCAGCGGAATATAAGTCGTCGTCGTTGTCATCGTCAAGATCAGGAACATTGCCCATAGTGGTATCGAAGTCAGCATTTGGAGGTGCCGGAGGAGCAGGAGGAGCAGGAGGAATAGGAAGAGCAGGGAAATGAGGAAAAGCAGGAGTGGGAGCAGTGGGAGGAGCAGAAGGAAAGGGAGCAGGTGAAGGAATGGGAGCAGTGGGAGCAGGCAAAGGAATGGGAGCAGCGGGAGCAGGCAAAGGAACAAGAGCAGTGGGAGCAGCGGGAGCAGCAGGTGCTAGCAGATGAGGATCAATTTGTGAATCAGTAAATGGGCGGCTATGAGGAGGCGGAACATGAGAGGGGGGCTGAGCCCTGGTAGCACCCCTGGTATGTGCGGAGGGGCCAGCCCTGCCATGCGGACGTACTAGCGTGTACATGTCACCAGCATGGTCAACGCCAGGCTTGGACGATGTAGTTTTTGCTGCAAAGGAGGGATTTGAGTGCCAGATGGCGTCGAGTTCCTTGTACCATGGAAATTCGCGACAGACTTCTTCTACAAATTTGAATCGGTCAAACCGCTAAACAAATAAATAAGAATGCTCACCTTGTAGATTTTTAGTGGAGGCGTCATCAAGAGGGACTACACCAGCACCGGTTGCGCTGAATTTAGCCTTAAGGGGCTTATATTTGTTTTTGAGACTAAGGATCTTATCAGCGCATAGTACAAAAAATATAAACATGACATACCTTGTGATACGGTTGTTGACAGAGTCACGAAATTTCTTCTGACTGTTTGCATATTCCAGCCCATATTTTGCGTGACGTTCGAAGATGACCTGAGCAATAACAGAGTAGATCTGAGACTTGTCCTTTCCCGAGGGACGAGCAGAAGAACTTGAATCCAGAGAGGGAGGTGGTTTCTTGCCATCAGAGTAGAATAAGATATGACAGTCGGGAGGGTGTTCGGTGAGCCAGGTGACCAAGACGTCAGTGAGAGTGTCATCACTCTGCCACTGAATCGTCAGCTTGGGTTTTGGATCGGGGGGAGGTGGTTGTATTTGAGATGTCGACGGCTCAGGATCCATCGCTCTAGAGCGCACTGGAGGGTTGCCTCCAAGTCGTGCAGAACGACGGAGGCGTTGTTGGCAAACAGCAGGCATATTTCAAACTCAGCCATGGTGCCGAGCCTGACTTTCAAATTTGCCGCATGCGGCTGTGCTTGTTTTCAAGCTTTAGCGAGTTTTCTGAAGTGTTCAAAACCTATCGTGAGTAATACTATTAACTAGCGGATTATTAGCTGCTTTTTAGCCAATCACGTGATGTTGATTTTTAGCAGGCGAAAAACTCGCTAATAATCCTAGCTAATTAGCCAACGCAAAAAACACTCATTCCCATACCTCCGGACACTCGTCATCACTTCCATTGATATCCTCAGCCTCCGCCTTGCCCTTCCCTGTGCTGTCCACATTAGGTCGCGATTCTGCCAACACTGCCAACAAACCATCCGCACTCAGATCTACCTCAGATTCAACGTCGAAGTCAGTGTTTGTCACCATGGCTGCTGCAGAACTCATTTGCACATGATCCAACCACGTACTGGACTCGTCGTCTTCAATTTCTTCACCTCCTTCAATACTTTCAGCTGATAGCAAGCTGTTCTTCGCATCATGATGCCGTTTACCCTCTTTTGCTTCGGATCCAAACAGCTCGGTGTCATCTATGGTAACTAGTCGATCATCTGTCAGTGGTAGAAGCTAGCCGGTCGACTCAGAATACTATTCCTGACCTGATCGCTCGATATCTGAGGCACAGTCAGCTGTAGGGAGTTATTAGCATTATTAGCCTCGTGATTTTTGCGACGAGTTATTAGCGTGTTAATAGCTAGTTATTAACATGCTAATTAGCATGCGGCTAATAAGCAGGGAGTTTTCTCCCGAACCCTATACTAGACCTAACAATACATAGATATATATATGGTATCAATACTGTCAATAATATCAGGGTTAGGGTTTAGTATGTCTGAGCAGACTTGGAACCTGAAATGTCCAATGGACGGAGCGTGTACGACGTGTTCCAGGCAAATATATTATTATCTCAATTAGATTATTCAGATATTGTAAATCACACAGAGATATTCAGTTAAAGTCAGATATTGATTATCATCATGAGAATACAATATATTGTAAGGTGCTACAATATAAGGAACCTGCTGCACTAGCAGGGTATCACTGAATGAGAGAATCCAGAGATAACATGGAAAGCAATGTCAGAGGTAACAAGAGCACAACACCGAAAGTCCCAGTGTGAGAATATGAGTACAACGAGGCAAAGTCCAGTGTGAAAATGTGGTAATTTGAGAAGCGGCTGCCAAGTCCAAACAAGTGATCATTGAAGTGAAAAATCTAAAACTGATCAAGGAAAACCAAGTGATGGCATAGTCGGAATAAGGCAAAATGAACATACTGATATCATCTATTTCCTGTGTGCTACACATTTGGTGCGACCTTTGGTTGGCTTGGCCAGTTCCTGGTCCTCATTGTTGGATTCCTCTGTCGTGCAGTGCTTACCCTTACCCCGGCTGGTTGGCGGTGCCTTCTTTTGCCTCCTTTTGTTGGTACTGACGGGTTCCAAGTCTTCATTGTTGTCAGATGGAACATCATCTGGCGTGAGTTCACTCAGTGCAGGAGATTTTTGTGGGATGGGGGCCATCTGCATGAGCCTTGGAGATTGAACGATTGGCAGTGGGGGGAGTTCCGGTTCCGGGGTGACAGAAGCAACTGGCAGTGGGAGGAGTTCTGGTTCCAGGGTGACAGAGCTTTGAGGTGGTGTTGGGATAGTCGGAGTAGCTTCAGGTGCTGTGGGTTGTTTGGCAGTGCTGGCACGAGTGGCCATCTGCACTCGCATTTTAGCCAGCCTGTTTACTGGAGTGGAGGACGAGCCAGTTGAATTTCCAGGTCCATTGTTGTCAGATATGGTTGGTCCACCTTCGTGTCCATTCTCATTTTTAAATAATGTCCTAAAGACAGAAGCAATTAGCCAGGCAAATTATTAGAGGAGAAAAACATACCTGTTCCACCATTTGAGGCCTCCGCCCAGTCTCTATCCTCGCACTCGCGAATGAAGTTGATAATGTTGTAGTAGAACGCACAATTGTTGAATTCACCGTCCGCTTTGGACCATTTGTTCTTGTTGCTGATGGCGAAGCGTGCCTGGCAGTAGTAGTAGTAGTATATGAAAACAATAAGTCAGTTGTGTTAAGTACATCAATTAAAACAAAACTCACCTGAACGCAAGCATATGCTATATGCTCTGCCTTGACAGTAGTCATGTCATGCAGGGACGCGTTGCATGAACGTGTAGTGCGCGAGTCGTCACCTAATGCAGTGGATGGACCTGTAAAAATATGACACATTATCTAGTAATACAAAATATTAGTAAGATACATGCATATAATCAACTGAAAGACTTACATGCTCAATGAGATAGCCCTGGAACAGGCCCTCGTGCATGGCATCCTCGTCGTACCTGCTGCCAGGAGGATTTCCAGCCCACAGAAACACCAGAAAGTCGATTGAGGTCATACAGATACGTCCGATCTCCATCCATTTTTAGGCCCTAAGTCAAAGAACATCAGATGATTGGATATGTCATAAATCGAGTACTTACAATGCGGGATCTCGGTTGAAATCAGCGAGTGCTGATATCGGACAAAGAAAAGAAGCAAGCACAGGGTGATTGATGCCCATGTGCACCCTGGACAGTGAGCTGCCATTGTAGATTGTAGGCTTCAAACCTTCTTTTAATGGTTCAGGCGCCACATAGTGGCCGATGTAGAAACAACAATACTGTGAGGAACAAATGATGCTCCTGACTGTATCTAAAAAATGTTGTAGGTCGTGCGTTGCCTAGTCTGCTATGCTTGAGATGGCAAGCACGTTCGACCCTTAAGGGGAAACAAGTGCAGCAAGCACATACTACAGTGACCTATCTCCGTATAATACGAGGGAACGGACGTGCATAATATCCCGTATGATACGGGCCAGCGGACCATGGGCCCATGATAAAAATATTCTCGACTATGACGGATGGGCCGGGAGGCAAATTATTCCCGATGGAGGCGGGTGGGCCCATGCAGGGAATATATAGAGTAGATGAGTGGGCTGAGGTAGCTGGATATTATGCAGATGGGTGTATTAAGGTAGATGTGTATGAGATAGATGGGTAGGTACTTGTTATCACATTCACGGGTGGGCCCAGACACATATTAAATTAGACGGGTGGGCCGAGGGTATTATACAATATTGTATTATACGGGTGGGCCCAGATGCATATTAATTAGACCGGTGGGCCGAGGGTGTTGCATGGGATATTGTATTAGACCGGTGGGCCGAGGGTGGTATACAATATAGATGGGTGGGCCCATGTGTATCATAATTGTAGACATGATGGAGCTGAGGTAGTTGTACATCAACCAAATCAGAGGAGGTAATAAATCAAAGTTACCAAGTTCCCGGAGCATCAGGTGATCTCCTGACATGGCTGTGCGAAGCTTGTGTTGCCCAACGAGATGCCAAGTTCCGGCCACCAGAATTTGAGTCAACTGTACCGAGTTCCGAGTTCCGGGATCCGGAACTCACCACATAAGTTGGTTAATACTTTTTGATGGTGCACAGGTTGTCTTGCAGAATGTGGAATCCGGGGTGCGAAGCTTGTGTTGCCCTATGAGAAGCCAAGTTCTGACCACCAGAATTGGAGTCAACTGTACCGAGTTCCGGGACCCGGAACTCAACACATAATTTAGTTAATACTTTCCATGTTAAATGGCCAACCGAAGTTGAGATGTTTCTGAAGAGAGCAGCAGGTGCTCTCTTGACATGGCCTCTGATGGTGCTTAGGTTGTCTTGCAGAATGTGGAATCCACGGTGCGAAGCTTGTGTTGCCCTACGAGAAGCCAAGTTCCGACCACCAAAATGTGAGTCAACCATACTCAGAGGAGGTAATAAATCAAAGTTACCGAGTTCCCGGAGCAGCAGGTGATCTCCTGACATGGCTGTGCGAAGCTTGTGTTGCCCTATGAGACTCCAAATTCCGACCACCCAAATATGGGTCAACCGTACCGACCTCCAAGTTCCAGGACCCGGGAGTCGACAAATGAATATCTGATGACCAGCGAGTCAACCTTACTCAGAGGAGGTAATAAATCACAGTTACCGAGTTCCCAGAGCAGCAGGTGATCTCCTGATATGGCAGTACGAAGCTTGTGTTGCCCTATGAGACGCCAAATTCCGACCACCCAAACATGGGTCAACCGTACCGACTTCCGAGTACCGGGACCCGGGAGTCGACAAATGAATATCTGATGACCAGCACACTTCCAATCAGGTAGTATTTCATTGAGCAATGGATAATAATACATCTTTGACAGCAGCCAAAATTATCCATGGCTCCCTTATCTGATCCTCTCTATCTCCACCCCCTATAACACCAAAGTCCAGACATCCAGCATTCAGCGTCTGATTTCCCAAGATTAACATCCAGCATGAACGGTTCTTCCCCTTCCCCTCCTGATAGCATAAACATCTGGTGCACTTGGGCCCTGACTGTGACTTATGAAGCAGGGGAATATACTGAACAGAAATTCAAGGCAGAGAAGACTGGAGGAGGCCCAGTCATACCTTCCCCCAACCTAGACACTGATCTGGTGATGGTGTGCGATCGCTTGGCTGATGTACTCATAAAGGCATCTAAAAATCCCAGTGGGTCTTCCTGCAGATTCGGAAAATTCTATTTATCATTCAAATTCCTGCATGACAGTTCAGATGCAGATGGATATTGCAAGATATAGCAAATTGATCTCGCCGAAGGACACCGGGCATAATGAACATAGAGAGGCAAGGTTGCTTGAGAGGTGTCCTCCTGGCCATGAAGGCAAAAGGTTGGTCGATGAACCTGCAATAATTCTTGATGCATCCGGTGCCATCATTGCATGGTATCTCCCAGACGCCCTGACAGACACCACCCAGGTGTGTAATATACATTGTTACTCAATGGATATCAAATATTAATGGAACCTACAGAAGGAAATCAGGGAGGCCACCTATTTGCTCTCTCCAAGCCTCAAAAAAAGTGTAAGGGCTGATGGCAATTGGCGAACTAATCAAAGGTTGCTCAACTGGGGCTCGGAAGATGTTGGAGCAACTCCCAGATGCATCAATCTATCTCCGGCATGGTTTCAACAGGGACACGAGGTAGGATCTGATGAGATGGTGATTCCGGCAGTCATACTTACCAATCCCAAAGAATGTGTCCGATCCGGAGGTATCTGCATCATTGAAGGGACCTTCCTGCGAGAATATCCTCAAAGCCATTGCAAGGCCAGCAGCCATTGCGTCCGTGGCACTCAGAGTCATGCATCCTGAGCAGTACTGGGCAGGGTTGAGAACCTTGTCAAACCTTGGAAATATAGCAGTAAGCAAGGATCTGCCACAGATGCCGGAGGCCCTGCAGTACTGGGCATCCATGTTTAACACCCTCTCCATCATTTCCAATCGGGAAACTCCCCATCATTGAGACCACATGTCCATTGCTGAATGCTTCGACATTCTCACCACCGTGGGGGACTATTCTAATGCTCGGATGACAATGCCAAACCTTCAGCTGGAGTTCAAGTACAATTCCGGCTGTATGATTGCGTTTTCCGGAAAGATTGTGAGACATGGAGTGTATGATGTGGAAGGGGATCGGATTGCTTGGGCATGGTATATGAGGGATGCTGTTCATATTTATGCTGGTGTTCAATCATGTGGATGGGCTAGTGTGGATGGTCCATACAGCGTGTGAAAGATCAAACAAAGAGCAAGCATTGTGACCTATATACAGTGGCTCAAAAAAGTGTCCCAATGTTTGTAGGTTTTCATGTAATTGTGTTATTGCGAGCCAGGGTGTGAGAATCTGACTAAGTCAAAGAGAGGTCCCAAAAAGCTCCGCTTCTCGGCTACAATTATGTTCCCTATAGCGTGAGAATTTATTGACGCCGTGCGAAGATATGGCTATTTTAATTAGGTGACTCATTGGGACACTTTTTTGAGTTTGAATCAATTATACATAATCTCTATAATTCTAGTACTTAGTGTTTCCTCCCTTAGCTTTAATGACTGCTGCTACCCTCCTAGGCATACTTTCTATCAATTTCTGACACTCCTCCTTAGCAATCTTTCCCCACTCTACTACAGCTCTCTCCCATAACTGAAATAGTCCATTAGGTGGGTCTTGATAGGCAGCAAGCATTCTCTTGAGTAATTCCCAAAGATGTTCAATGGGATTGAGGTCTGGAGACTGTGCTGGCCATGATAGGACAGTAATATCATGGTCCTCAAACCATTTGGTGGCCAACTTTGAGGTATGCTTGGGGTCATTATCTTGTTGGAAGATAATGTCTTCTTCATCAATACCTGATTCTTGCATGCTTTTGAGCAGACACTCCTCCAGAATGGAGACATACTGCTCTGCATTCATCCTCCCCTCCACCTCACATAGAATTCCCACCCCATGCCACCCCATGCAGCCCCACACCATCATATTTCCTCCTCCAAACTTAAGAGTACCTTTCACTTCTTTTTCTCCAAGTGGATCTCCTGCCTTTTTCCAAACATACTCTTGACCATCTGACCCCATCCTATTGATTTTAGTTTCATCTGACCAAATAACTCTCTTCCAGTCCTCTATAGTCCAGTGCTGGTGCTTTAAAGCAAATGCTAGTCTCCTTTTCCTATGGGCTGGTGACAGTAGGGGTTTCTTCTTCTTGACTACAGCTTTAAGATTGGCTTCCTTGAGGGTGTTCCTGACTGTTTGAGTGGAGACAGTGGTAGTGATGATGGAATTGATGTATTTTGTGGCTTGAACAGCAGTAGAGGCCTTTCCAGATATAATATGATGAACAAGAGCTCTTTTGTCATGCAGAGTAAGTTTAGAAGGACGACCCATTTTGACATTTTCTTTGTTGGGAATATTCTGGTTGATAACCCTGGCAATAGTTGACTTCCCCAGACCAGTTTTGGAGGCAATCTGCCTGATAGATAGACCAGAGTGGAGAGAAAAAGGATATTATCTCTTTGAGAAGAGGAAATAGACTTCATGCTGATTATGAGGGACATGATGTTATTGGAAGGGTTTATATATGTACAGGATATTAAAATGAGACCATATTGTCAATATGGGACCATTTATATATATATTTGTAAATGGTGTCATGTCTAAATGATCTGATTTTCATATTTTAATAGAAACTCAAAAAAGTGTCCCAATGAGTCACCTAATTAAAATAGCCATATCTTCGCACGGCGTCAATGGATTCTCACGCCATAGGGGACATAATTGTAGCCGAGAAGCGGAGCTTTTTGGGACCTCCCTTTGACTTAGTCAGATTCTCACACCCTGGCTCGCAATAACACAATTACATGAAAACCTACAAACATTGGGACACTTTTTTGAGCCACTGTACATTCCAACAAATGAATACCATGTACCAATTGTGATCCGGACCTCAATACTCAATTTTGAGCATTTCCCAAGTGATATGTGGGACTAAATAATTTGGATGCAAGCCTCGGTATTCGATAATTGGAACTCGGGACTTGACATATGGAAGTCCTGAGTGCCGGGGTACTTAGTCCCGACACCCGGACCTCAGCACGTGATATTTGAGACTGGGGGAAGATGTATAAATACACTCGAATTAACATTTGTT